GTGCTGGGAGTGGAAAAGCACAACAGGGGGACTGGAGATGTATCTTTCTGAGTGAAGATCTCAGTCCAGAACACCCTGAACTTCCCCAGCCAGCCCAGTGCCAATGTTGGAATCTGTGCCTCACGGGATGCATACTGTCCCCCAGGCAGCAGGGTTAATGTGGAAAGTAACACCCAAGCTGGGCTTTGTACATGGCATTTTGCTGGTTAGGAATGAGTTTCTCCTCTGCACCAAGAAGAGTGCAGAATAAAAGATGATGTGGGGGGAGGGGGAAATTGGAGCTCAAACTGTGCAAAAAGAGAACATAGAGCTTGAGGATCTCAGGGCAGGTGCTTAATCTCTTTAGTTCTTATTCTGGATTTCAGTCCGGCCCTGCATTGAACCTATCAGAAAAGTGCAATGATGTCAAACACCCCCTATCTCCTAGAACCAGTCTCCATACAGGGACTGTCACATGTTTCTGTCTTGTCGACTGTGCACTTTGCTTTGAGATCTCAGCTTGTATTCAATCCATGTTATCCCTCACTAGACAAGGACAGGCTGTGTCAAATCTAGCGGAGTCAGGGTTCATCCTGGTAGTTCTTACAGCAAGGCCTTGGGGTTGGAAGACATTTGAAGGTCTTTCCTTGGGTCCCCATCAGTGAACATTTCCAACTAGACTGGTATTCTGAGCAGAGCAGAGATGGGAGGTGTTGGTCCCACCTCAATATCATTTCCAGACCTCTAGGCTAAATGTGATTGTCTGAAGACCCAAGGGCAGACAAGGTGGAACAGTGACCCCCCCTTAATTCAAATGCTGTGATGGGGACAGTCCATGGCGGTCACAGCAGACAGCTCCTGACTTAGACCTTTCTACAGGGAGACTGGTTCCCCAAATGCCAAAAGGTCCACAGAGGAGCTCTACAAAGAACACAGTGGGTAAGGTGCTTGCCCTGCAATGAGCTGACCTGGGTTCATTCCCCGGCAATGCATATAGTCCCCTGAGCACAGAGCCAGGAGTAAGCCCTGAGCACTGCTGGGTGTGTTCCCCAAACAAAAGAATATATCCTGATAAAAGGATAGGATGGTCTCCCTCCCCTCTCCTCCTTCCCCTTCTTTCTTTCATTTTTCTTCAGGGGGGCTGGGATTCCCCCCAAAAAAGCTCAGGGCCAATCCCAGTAATATTTGACCAACCAAAAGCTTCAATGCTTCAGCTCAGTGATACAACACCTCTCAGCGGTGCTGAGAGCTACCAGCATCGCTTACCTCCCGGCCTCACAGGGTTCTGGAAGCAGCACAATGCTGGGGAGTGAACTCGGGACCCTGGAAGAAACCCTCTGAGCTACCTCCCTGGTCCCTTTGTTTGTTTATCTTCTGGAAAGAAAACAAAGAAAAGCCCCAACCGAAGGACAAGTTTTCTCTTGGACCAAAATTGAAAAGCACACACAGCTCCAGAATTGCTAACCGCCCCTCATGGCTACGTTGATGCATCTGTCGTTTTGGAACAGCTATTTCCAGGCCCATTTCCCCCATTCTTTGTTCTGTTCCACGCTGATTTTTCTGTTCCCTCTTACATTGGAGCAGCGGAGGGCAACGGTAAAGGAGGGGCAGGGGGAAGAAAGAACAAAAACGTAATCCCAAACAGGGTGCTCCACTGCTGAGCACACCTCTCCTGCAGCTTCTAAAAGCTCCAGGGCCCAGCAGCCGCCCTCTCCTCTGCCCCCATGGCCCTGTCCCCTGAACAAACACAGCCTTCTCCCTTCCTCTTTGGGTGTCTGTGTGCCAAAGCCCTGGTCGAATTTCTGGACGGGACATGTTCATGAGCAAGTCTGCCTTCTTCCCACTCAGGCTGGGGTGGGGGTGGGGACTGCAGGGGTGGAGGGGAGGGTTGTTCCTTTTAATATAGGTTACTTCAGTATTTTCTAGTATCCATTATAATCGCTTCCAGACTGACACAGTTTTGTCATACACCACGTGTATATCAAAGTGGAGAGAGAGAGAGAGAGAGAGAGAGAGAGAGAGAGAGAGAGAGAGAGAGAGAGCACAATTCTCTCCTTAAAGAGTGTGAGGAAAACAAGTGAACTTCCCTTTACACCCCAACCCGGACCCACTCGCCAGCACCAGTGGTCGCTTAGAAAGGAGGGAGCCTCTCCTTGCCCTTGCCTGGGTGCCATGCCTATCTGGGAATGAGAAGAAAACAGGGGTGAGCAAAACCCAAAGCAAAAAAAAATTTCTTTAAATAGCAAACATAATGTTTTATGTCTTATTAATGTTTTTAATAAATTACAGGATATTCATAACATATTAGATATGAGCCACTTATGTATTTCCCTAATTTTTTTTTTGTTGTCAATAAGCCATCAACCAGGCTCCTGAAGTTAGGTGGTGGGTTTACAATTAGAATTACCTTGGTGGGGGTATGGTGCTGCCAGCAGGCCAACCTGTACCTGCAGGTTGAGTTCATCAGCAGCTTGATGGTACCTTCAGGCTTTCTGATACCCCAAAATTCCCACTGTGCTTTTAGAAGAACCCCAACAACTTTGGGCCAAGTTTACCAAGAAATTAAATGGCCAAAAGTTAGGTATGTGGGAGCCATGCCCACAAAACACCCCTAGCTCAGCTATACAAACCCATTTATTGGCTTTATTTTGGAGACCCATAAATAAACCTCTAAAGAGAAAAAAGCTTTAGTTAATCTCAGACACATACATAGCTTAACAAACCAGGGTAAAACTGAGGGGGGGGGGGCAGGTTAGGCTCGTGCCCACCCAGGCAGAGCCCCAAGCAGTCACTTCTTTCCACAATCCAAAATCACCATCATACCTCCAGCCTGACTCCTATGTCTCAGGACGGATGCACACAGACGTAATCTGCTGAAAATTCAGGTATGTGGATTTTGTGACTGAAATCTCCAGGTTTTCTCAGAGTTGGGATGGGCTACTTCTCCCCACTTCGCAATACACATGGAAGCACTGGCATTCACCCCCACCAACCAACTCCAGTGCCACCAGGTAAGCTCTACTACCAGTACTGCTTCATAGACCATTAAATAATTCTCAAGGGAGATCAAAAACCATAGTTAATCTTGAACCTACACAAGGCTGAACAGACCAAGGTAAATCAGAGGGGAAGGGTCAGTCTGGAGACTGCCCAAGCAAAACTCCTGGCAGCCACTTGCTTCCACATTCCAAAATCACTGTCACATCCTTGGCCTCACTCCACTGGCTCAGGATGGATGTCACAGAGACAACATTTGCTGAAAATCCTGGTACACAGGTTTGTAAGACTGAAATCTCCAGGATTTCTCAGGGTAGAGCTGGGCTACCTCTCCCCACCTCCCTGTACTTCCAGAAGCCTCGGCAGGCAGTCACATCCACACCCCAAAGCAACCGCCCAATTGAAAAGCTACTCCAGCCTTACCATCCTGATAAAAATACAGACTGTCCTGAACAATACTGTAGTGAAAGCAAAGCAGGTAAGGCATTTGCCTTGCATGCAGCAGACCTGGTCAGCCCAGGTTCTATTCCTCCACCCCTCTCGGAGAGCCTGGCAAGCTACTGAGAGTATCTTGCCCACACAGCAAAGCCTGGCAAGCTACCCGTGACATATTCAATATGCCAAACACAGTAACAAGTTTCACAATGTTACTGGGACCACTTGAGCAAATTGATGAACAACGGGAGGACAGTGCTACAGTGCTACAGTCCTGAACAAACACCATGACCTCTTAGCACCTGTATTGCAAACCATAATGCACGAAAGGAAAAGGGGAGAGAGAGAGCGAGAGAGAGAGCAAGAAGGAAGAAGAACATCCCATAGGGAGTGGAATTTGGGGAATGGTGGTAGGAAAAGAGGGGACATTGGTGGTGGGGAATAATACACTGGTAGAGGGATGGGTGCTGGACCACTGTATGACTGAGATCCAATTATGAACAGCTTTGTAATAATCTATCGCAAATATTCAATTAAAAATTACAAAAAAGTAATGTGGAGTTCATGCCTAATTCAATCAGCTTAATCAATGGCTGAATAAATAGCAGTACTCCTACATTAATTTGAAAAAAAAAATCACCTCGGAGTCAGCAAAGGAAAGATATTTGATTGGGCTGTTTGCTGGGACAAAGGTTCTGTTTCCCTCCATTGAGTGGGGTGAGAGCTGCTGCAGAGACTCCTGGGGACTCTGGAAACTAACGCTTTTCCCTTTCCTTGTCCAGGGGTAGGTGAAGGGAGGGAGGCAAGCAGGGAGGGTCCGGAACAGTGCTGTTATGTCGTTAGCTTGGGGAAAAAGAGGCAGACCCTGGGCTCTGAGGTCCACTTGTGGAGGTTGTGGCTTATCGGATCATGTCCGGCCCCTCTACTCATTGTGCCCGCACGCACGACGGCCAGCCTCCTCTGTGTCCTCGGCCCCAGCGGCAATCGCCTTCGCTGTCCCCAAGGACCAGCCCACTCGCACCTCCTGGAGCTCTTTGCACTTTGGCTGCAGAGCTGTTCGCTGAAGCCTGGCGTCTGCGTTTGCACGGAGAGTCAGAACAAGGCGTCCGCCTGGAAGAGATGCGGACAGACCACGGGCCTCTGCCTGGCAGGGCTGCACACCCTCCTCCCGCCCCTGCTGATAAGGACGGACATGAAGGCTGAGGAAAGGGAATGACTCCTGCCCGCTCCCAGCGGAGGTCCCGGCTCCGTGCGGAAAAGAGAGCAGAGCCTCCCGCGCCCGATTGCGTCTCTCGGCCCACTGGGGGGTGGGCTGGGCAGGGGCCGGGTGCGGGCGGGAGGGGCGCGTCGCCGCCTCGGACGGGACTTGTGCAGGGAGGTGTCCCGGCCGAGGCGGGCGGCCGGCTGCGCGTGCCAGGGGCTGCGCGCCCCGCAGCCCCGGCCGGTGCGGGCAGCCGCCGCCTCCAGCCCGCCGCCCGCCGCCCGCTCTCCGCACACGCACACGCACACGCGCTGGCACGCGCGCGCGGTGCCGCACAAAGCCGAGCGGGCGGCGAGGCGGGTCGGGGCGTTACATAAGGCCCGGCGGGCGCCGGGATGCTCCGGGACGCGCGCGCTCGGCCCCGCGGCCGCGGCCGGGGCTCGGCTTGACGGCGGTCGCGGCGACCCGGGCCTGGCGCCGGCCCACGGCTGACGACAGCGGCGGCCCCGCCGGTTTCCATGGAGACGGGCGGGCGCGGCGGCGGGGCTGTCAGCGCGCGCGGCGGCGGCGGGGCTCGCGCGCCCGCGGGGGGCTGCAGGAGGAAGGCGGCGGCCGGGCCCGGGGCCCTCGCGGCGGCCGACATGGACTTGCCTCGCGACGGCGCCGCCGACACGCCGGCCGCCGAGCCGCCGCCGTCGGGGAGGATCAACAAGGCGGCGTTCAAGCTGTTCAAGCGGCGGAAAGCCGGCGGCCCCATGCCCAGCATCTTCGGGGTCAGAAACAAAGGCGACGGCGGCAGGGGCTCGGCGGCGCCCGCGGGCCTGGCGCGCAGCAAGACCCACGACGGCCTGGCCGAGGTGGCGGTGCTGGAGGGCGGCAGGAAGGACGAGCCGCGCGGCGGGGACGGCGGCGACGGCCCCGTGGCCAAGTCGCACAGCTTCCTGTCGCTGCTGCGGAGGAGCGCGCGGCCCGAGGCGGGGCGGCCGGGCGAGCCGGCGGCCGCGGGCAAGGCGGGCGGCAGACAAAAGCGCGGGCTCCGGGGGCTCTTCGGCGGCGTGCGCTGGCCCCGGAGGGACAAGCAGCGCGGCCCCGCCGCGGCGGCGGCGGCGGCGGCGCCCGCGGCCGGCGCCCCGCGCGGCCTCGCGCCGCCCGGCTCGCTCTCCGCCAGCCTCGAGTGCGTGCCCGAGGAGCCGGGCCGGGCCCCGCGCTCGCCCGAGCCGCCGGGCCCCGCGGACGGCCCGCGCCAGCCAGCAGGTGAGCTCGCGGGGGGAGACGCGGCGCCGGCCGCCGCCGATCGCGCCCCCCGGCGGACACGGCCGGGCGCCGCCGCCGCCGCCGCCGCCGCGGGGAGCCCCGGGAGCGCGCCCGCCGCCGCCGCCGCCGCCGCCGCCGCCCGCACCCGGGGAGACGCCGCTGCCGCCGCCGCGGGAACGGGGCGCGGGCGAGCCGACGAGGCCCGGGCGCCGCCGGAGCGGGGCGCGCCGGCGGGGCCGCTGCCGCCGGCCGAGGACGCGCCGAGGAGCGGGGCGGCGCCGGCGCCCGCCGAGCCAGCGGCCGATCGGCTCGGGCTCCTGTTCTCTGACGTGACTTCACTGAAAAGCTTTGACTCTCTTACAGGCTGCGGCGATGTCATTGCAGAGCCCGAGGACGAGGCGGGCCCCAGCGGCCAGCAGCGCGCCGCCGGGCCGGGGAAGCCGCGCGCGCTGCCCAAGACCCCCGGCGCGGCGGCCTTCCAGGGCGGCGGCGAGGAGATGGCGAGCCCCGAGCAGGTGGACGACACCTGTCTGCAGGAGTTCTGGGACATGCTGTCGCACACGGAGGAGGAGGAGGAGGAGGAGGTCGAGAAGCGGGGCGTCCCGGCGCGGGAGGCCAAGGCGGCGGCCCAGGACAGCCGGCCGGGCCCCGAGCGCCCCGGAGACGCGCGCGGCGCGGACGCTCCCAAGGACGCGGCGGCGTCCAGCAAGCGCCGGAAGCTCAGTCGCAGCCCCGCGGAGCTCCAGCCCGGCGAGGAGCCCCCGACGCCCGGCGAGAAGCCGCAGCCGGCCGTCCCCTACGGCGACGAGGGCCACCGGGACTCCAGCCCGCCTGGGGGCCCGGAGGCAGACCCCGCGGGCGGCGGGAAGCGGTCCCCACCCCGGGACGGCGGCGGCGGCGACGCGCTCCTCGACGGCGGCCCCGCTGCGCCCCCTGCCGACCACGACGCGGCGCCCTGCGCGGCCCGCCGCAAGCCCGGCTCGCCCGTGGCGGTGGCCGGCCCGCTGCGCACGCCGGGCAGCCTGCCCAAGGACTCCAGGATCCCCATCAGCATCAAGCACCTCTCTCACCTGCCCGCCGCGCCCCCCGCGGCGCCCCCGCCGGCGCGCAGCGAGCTGCCCAGAACGAAAATCCCCGTGTCCAAAGTGTTGGTCCGTCGGGTCAGCAGCCGGGCCTTGGCGGGGTCCGCCCTCCGGGCCACAGCTTGCCACGACGGTGCCAAAAAGTTGTGAGCGTTCGGGAGGAACCGCCTGGCCAGCAACGCGACGCTCTCCGCAGACTGCTGAAAGGCAGGATGCTTACCCCAAGGAAAGGCTTTTGGAATGGTCTTTCCCTGGCTGGAATCTGGATCCGGGAGGCCTTGGCGCCTGTGAGCACACACTGGAGAGAGGGGATGCCGCGCGCAGCTTCTCCTCCCGAGAGAAGTCCCTGAGAATTCTTTTCGAGCACTTTTTTTTTCTTCTTCATTGTTACCTTCTTGTTTTTTTAAGTGTGTCTCTCCCTCCGACTACCCTCCCACTCCCGTAATGCACTGCACACGTGGAAGTCACCTCTACTTGCCTTTGCAGAAAACAAGATTTAACCCAATCCGTTCGTATCTGGCGGTGATCATTTGGCCGTACCTGCGTCCAGAGGCTCTACGGGAGCCTCCGGGGTCACCAGAGGACTCCTCTTCAGAGCGCTTTCCAACCCTTTCCTTTCCAGGAAAAACATCCAAGCCAAACCAAACTAAAACCGATCCTTTGCTGTATCACTGTGTGGAAAATCCCGACAAAACTGAAAGATCCAGGTATTTACCTGAGCCCGGGACCCCTGATTGGCAGGATTCTCACCTCCTTTCAGTTGCTCAGTTATGCAAATTGGTGAATATCTACCACTGGGGCAATAAAGGAGAGTTTGGGTTTGTTTGGTTCAGATCATTGGTGTGGGGAGAAATACATGGCTAAGAAGAGCAGGTTTGCAGCTTTTTGTGTTTGTGGGGTTTGGTTTTGTTTTGTTACCACCCCCCCCCCCCCACCACCTCCAGTGCAGATAATCAGGATCAGGGAAAGATTTCACTGAATGCCAATAGACACAGTATTTTAGCATTTGTAGACTGCCACCTTTTCATGTGTAGAAGATGCATATTTTGCAGTTTATCGAACAGCATTTTTTAGCTGTCATTTACCCCAAGTTGAAAATCTGGATTTTATAACTAGCTAGGATCACTGGCTCCAAATCTCTGATCTTCTTTTATGTTCTGTGTACGCTGGATGCAATTCTGGTTTTGTTTTTATATGGATTATTTGGTTCTCAATGTAGAAGGGAGAGAAGGAGGCCGAGAGAGCTATTGTGTTGATGTCCCAGATAATTGGTGAAATCTATTTGTTACTCCCCCAAATCCTGTCTTAAAAAATTTGGATTCAACTATTCCTCATTCCAAAAATGAGGGATGTATAAAGAAAAGACAAGAGAAAAACAGTTTTTATGTCATTTGACTTTTTCTTTGTAGGTTTTTGGTTGAGACTGATGATCAGAATACACACTGGCAAGCTTAGGAATAAACAAACAGTTTATGCAAAGATTTTTTTAAAAAGTGGTATGATTCTATGTATGTTTTCTGTTATCTTAGAATAAAACATTTATTTCAAACGTACACAAAATGAGTTACCATATACCTAGATTGTTTGAGTGATACACTGTAGCATTTCCTAGAATACTATTAGCCTCTAGTGATTATATAATATTCTCTTTGAAATGCACTTAGGTGAATTTCATCGCAAGATAGATCTTCTAGGAGGTGATTCATGAAATCAGGAAGATTAAACATATTACGTTGAATTGCACATATGTGAATGACACAAATGCTTCCCATATAACTCATTTTCCAGAGAGATTGCCTAATGAGCTGATATTACATGCTTTTTAATGTTGCTTTCTATTTTATAAAGGAAAGACTAAACAAGTATATGAACACCTATTTTATAATATGTAGGGAGTAACAGAATTAATGGGTATCAGAGAACAAATATGAACCAGAAGCACAAAGCCGGTTGCTCCCAGTGATTCAATTAGAAAAGACAGTAGAGGTTCACTGAATTTTTTTATTAGATTATTGGCCTTCACTGCATTTTGTCAGAACTTCATGCTGTTTCAAATCATTTTGATATTTTATTTCCTGGTTTCCATGGATAGGGTCCTATACTGGGACATAGCCTAAAATACCACCAAAAATTTGTTCAGCAACGCACATGTGCTCTTGCAGTCAACTGTACAGTCTAACAAAGGCAGCTACTATAAACTTGAATATATTTTAGAAATTATGTCTGTCTTGAGAAAGGGCTTTCAGTTTGATTTTACACTGATAGTAGTATTTTAACTAAAAATACATTTATTTGCCCTGAGGGAATGGCAGGAACATAAATTTTATTCCTAGGTATAAAACAAAGGATCTCTCTCTCTTTTTTTCTTGTGCATTTTTTGCAAGGGTTATGTTTTCCTCTAGCTAATCCCTGATAAAGCTAAATTTGTTCCATTGCACAGGCAGCTAAAGAGCACTTGAGGTACTGATGAGAATAATGAAATAGCAAAGGAAATAAAATCACCCATTTTGTAAGCACTGGAACAAAGTATTTAGGCTTTCACAATCTGGGGACTTCTACATTTATGCCACTATGCTATGCTGTGTCTTCTTCTTTAAGTAAAGAAAATGTCAACAAAATTTGCCTTAAATTTCCCTTGTCTGTCACTTAACCAGATATACAAGATTTAAAATATTTTTATTTAAAAAATGTTTTCTATGTATTTTTCTTTTTTAATACTTAATTTATGTCTTTAGGAATTCCAGGGACCAGAGAGGAGAAATAGTACTGTGTATAGGGTGCTTGTCTTGCACATAGCCAACCTGATTCGATCCCTGGCAACGCATATGGTTCCCTGAGCCTGCCAGGAGTGAGTCTTTAGCACAGAGCCAGATGTAAGCCCTGAGCACGACCAGAAAAGGGCCCCACCACTTAAAAAAACACACACAACTAAAAGCCCAACAAATTCCATTCACAAGAGTCAAATGAGGAGTTTAAATGATCTCCATCAATATGGAAGTGTTGGTGAGGATGAGGCCGTCAGTGGCGTGAAAGGGTGTCAAAATCTCTTCAGCAAAAGACAAGGAATCATAGAGCTCCTTGTGTGTGTGCTGCAAGATCAAAGGGTTACTTTCACTCATGTTCATGGAAAGCATAATTTCCATAGGTTTACTTTCCAGGTGTTACTAGTGCATTACCTAAGCTGGGTAATTTTGCCCAATTTGATAATTTGTTCAGGAAAGCATCCGATATGGTCTGTGACACCTTTCTTGTGTATGCATGGCTATGGGACATGTGGTTGATTAAATCTCTGACAGAGAGCAGTCTCTGAGCGAGGAAAAAGAACAATCTGAATTTTGTTAGTCATTTTACTAGGCCTGCACAGACAGCTTGACTTTCATATCTAAATCATAAAAGACAATATTAGTTAAACCAATGGCTTCTATCCCAATGGCAGTTGCTGCTTTCATTATTCCATTAACATCAAGTGGGAGAAATTTTACAGCTAAAGTGTTTTGAATAATCTTAGAGGAAACAGATTTTAATTATTTTACCTACTAACAGCAATGGAATAGAGAATTTGAGGACTTCCTTAAGCTCTGTTTATCATCAGGTTTTCTGCATATTTAAACACAAGGCGTTTCACATCTCTGAAAGCAGGGGACAGTATTGAGTTTAAAGGGCTGACTCATTCATCTAGAAGTATTTTTCAAGAATTTGCTTTTGAAATACTGTTCAAAGACCCCTTCATTATCAAGGTGAAAGCCCCCATCATTATCTATTAAGTCTCAAGAGTTCTTTGAGTTTCCTTTATTTATGTGTGCTTCCTTTATATACGTCTGTCAGGTTGTCACTCTCCACTACTCAGTTCCTATGAAGAGATTGGTTGTGGTCATTTTCTGTCCTCTTTCTTTGCGTAGTGATCTCAGACAGACATAAACTTCATAACATTAGTACATTTGGGCATTGCAGAGAAGGACCCATCTCTTGCTGTGATCATTCTACATTTCTCTTCTGATGTGTTCCCATACACTCATGTGCCAGTGCTCTGCTTAGCACTGTTGAAAAACCGAGTTTAGATTCTATTTTTGAGTATAGATTCTTAAACCTAAGGAATAAAGCATCACACTGGTCTCTTTTCACCAGGAAGGGTAGCCAGATAAAAGTATTTGGATGAACTCAAAGGAGAAACCCAAATACCTGAGCCCAACCACATTCTCTTCTGTTCTCCAGGTGGATCAAGGGATGAAACAGTTTTTATTTGCACAAGTTCAGCCTGGGGATTTTCAGTTCATTATGTAATAATATCTGCAGAAACGGAGAAAAATCAAAAGAAGAGTCTCTGAAAGTGTCAGGCTTGCATCAGAAAGGACATGTACAAGGAGACAGGCAATAATCGAGCACTTGAAGATATCTAGGGAGAGTAAAGCAGCGAAGTTGTCAGCATGCCATGGAAATGTTTTTCCTCCTGAAGAGTGGTGGTTGATTCTTGACTCCACCTTGCTCTGAGGATTTGTGGCTAGTGTGCAAAATTGCTTCTAAAGCCATTTTCACATGTCTCGCTACCTTTCTATTGTCTCACTGCAGATCATAGTTTTATGGAGTAATTCATTGAGAATGAGAGTTTTATAACTGGGAAGGAGTTTCTTCTTAAACTGCAAGTGAAAAGATTAAAATAGTGGGCGAAGCCTCCATAACTGATATTAGCTACATCTTAGGATAGATATTTACTTTGATTCCAATGTCACCCAGCTTCTTAGTGTATCAAAGATTTAGTACTTAGTAAAACACATTCCATTTGCAGTTCATATAACTGGACTGTAACTGGACTTTCTTAATGTTCATTAAAAGCATCTTTATTGTATTAACTTTATTTATTGCTTATAGTTTGCGAGGTGCAGCAGGAGGGGATGAGGGCATGCATTGTACCACACAAATTTCTCTAAGAAGATTAATGGTCACAAGCAGGAGAGATAGTACAGCGGGGAATCTTGCCTTTATCCTGGTGCCACTTGTGGTTCCCAGAGCCCTGTCAGGAGTGGTCCCTGAGCACAGAAACCCACAGTGCCAACACAGCCAGGTATGGCCCCAAACTCAACCCCCCCAAAATGGAATAATAGTCATTAAATAAAATAAAGGAACAATAGTCATGATAACAATGAGTTGACTACTCATTGAGTGTCAGCCACTCACTGTTTTCCCTATGTTAGTCTTAAG